CCCTGTTAATAATGCAGCTTCGGTCAGCACTTCAGATAATCCAGGTGAACTGACTTTGGGGTTAAAGTTCATTTCTGGGTTAAATCAGTCTTATCAAAGACATGTTTTTGTTTAAGTATCAGTCGCTACAGGTGTGACAGACATGAAACTCCCTAAGGTCCCAGGACAAAGTCTGATAATGGAATACAGAGCAGGACTCGTGAGAGTGTCAGATTTAGACTGAGATGGTGAAAGACGTCACATTTGAACATTGTCTTCACTTTAACAGAAAAACTCTCAACTCGGGATGCACATCTGTATCAGATGATACCAGATACATTCAATCAAATAGTCAAGTAGTAGTGTCTCACTGCCCTCATGGTTACCTCATTTAGGTTGGTCATCATCGTCAGCAGTTTGATGGTATTTGGGTATACAAATGAGCAGTGAGTCTGTGTTTAATCTGTTTCCAAAAGCACTAAGAAAACATACAAGTAGCAGAAAGACTCAAACTCACCTTTTCCATTGTTGTGTGCTAGGGCCCTCTCGATAAAATCAGCCCCCTCCTCGAAGAAGGCACTGAGGTTGAACTGCTCGGTGTCATTGGCCTGGATGCCATGGTACGTGATGCCCGTGCCTGTGTAAAAGTCCACACTGGTGTTGACGTGCATGAAAGACGTGCCCTCTGCCACGTTCAGGACATGTGTTACTCCCAGTTTCTGCAGACGCATGGTGTTCTGAGCTACGAACCTGAGCGGAGACATAATGAGAGGAGACGAAGAGCGATGACTTTAATCACTTTTCACTACACGGAGGCTACAGAAGACGTCTAGAACAGCCTTCATAATAAAACCTGACGGCTTATTTTTTCTGTTTGGGACACAGCATGTCAGCACAATTTACTATGAAGCAATATATCACAAATATGGGCTGCATCTTTTACAAGAGCTCTGCTAACACACATTAGTGAAAGTTGAGCTGACACTATCACTGCATCACCTGATACAGGGTCAGATGGCTTAAAAGTCCTAAATTCTGTTGCTGAAACCTTAAAATAAACTTTAGGAGTGTATCTTTTTTTTTTTTTGAGCAGCATAGGGAAACCTTTCAGTGCGTGCTTGGTTCTTTCTTAATGGCTCAAACACAGGCTGCTTGGCTAAGAGTGTCCGTCTAATGCATGCATTACCCGAACTTTGACACAATTCAAAGGAAATGCTTTTTTCTTTTTTGTACTGCTACGCCACACTTTTCCCAGCATGTTTAATTTATTGTGTGTGCACTGTCAGCTAGTGTATCCAAACACACTGTGGTTGGTATCCTCATAGAGTTGTGACGTTTCTTTTCTTTCTAGAACTTTGGGTTTCAGTGTTAATGAAGACTAATGTAGAACTACTACAGAATTTCCCTTCCATGAGGATGAGAAGGTATTGGAAACTAAAGGCCATGATGGGGTCGAATATCTGGTTATTATTTTTAACCATCTTTACAATCTTAAAAAGAAAAAAGAAAAAAAACAATTCCAATTCCAAATATTTTCAGTGTGTTCTCACTTTAAAGCTGCACTCTGAAACCAAATTCAGAGAATGTGTTCACAAATCTAAGACAGATTTGTCAGTCAACACTGCCACATTCATTTGGTCCTGAAGAGTCACAGTACTACATAGTTAAGTCTAAACAGTAGCAAACTGTACAGTGAGCAAACTCAAGGCTAACAAACAGTCACCCTGGAATCCAGGCTTTGGCTCCTGGAGGCTGGCTGGCTCCATTCCTGTGTCCACTGTTCCTGGCCTCAGGTACTGCCCATTGATTCTGAATAAAAGGCCTCCTCTGCATGTTGCATTAAACTTTTATAGGACACTTAGTGTCACTAATTAACTGAACAGAATTTATGTTAAAAAGAAAAAAAAACATGCTGTATATACTGTATATCTCTGCATCAAAGTAACACTGAAAGGCAGCAGCATCAGTTATTTCTGTACCAATACTAGTGGAGCTGAATGTAACCTGGTTTATGTTTGCTTAACTATTCTGACCTGAGCATCATCAATCCTCATGTAAAGCGCTGGGGTCGTGACCCTGCCGTGTGCTATATCTGCTTACAGTCGATATGAAGCTGGTGAGGCGAGGCTAGGTGACCCTGGGCAGCTCCCTAGAGGTGGTGGCCGCCGAGCCCCCCTCCTGCAAGGAGCAATAAAACAAACCTTCTGGTCCACCATTTTGCTTTACGTCCATGACAGAAACGATGGAGTCACTCCTTGCTGTTTTATTATTTTCAATTCTCAGCGAGAGTACAGTACATTTGTGTGCTTTGTGTAGCATTAGCTTGTGGATATTACTGATTAAATACCTGGTGACATGGCCAGTGTACATGTTGGGTCTACAAAACACAACAAGCTGTGCGTGTGTGTGTGTGTGTGTGTGTGTGTATGTGTGTGGGTGTGTGTGTGTGCGCGCGCGCGTGCGTGTGTGTGTGTTTGTGAAGGACAGATGTGTAAATATATCTGTATAGAACCTGTCATATTTACGACAGGTTGAAATGAGTCCACAGCCAATAGCTGAGTGTCTCTTTACCTGCTGTGTCCCTGCCTCCGCTCTCTCACCCTGAGCTCTGCAGTCCCACAGCATCCATTATTAAAGACCCGCCTCACTAAGAGCCAAAGTGTTCCTTATAGCAAACAACCACACCTTGAGTCCAGTCCTGAAATGTTCACCGCAGAGTGCTGACTACAACTGCTCTGAACACAGTGCAGTACTTTGGGTTTGGAAAATACTGCAATTAACCTTTTATGGAAGAGAACCTTGTAGGTACTTTAACATGAGTGTTGTATTTGTTGTACAAACTTCAGTTACTGAGACGTACTGTATTGTATCCAAACATGTGTTGACTTGCTGTAGTCAGTTCATGCACAGCCACAGACCTAGGTAATATTAGGAAGTACTTTTTACTCTCTTGTTTTTCCGCAGTGGACCACACCTGAAAATATTTCTCTCTCTCCAAGGATGACCACCGTTAAAATACAGCCTACAGTATTCTGCTAAGTTCAGTTAACTGAAAAAGAATAATACTGTTTTTAATAAGAATATAGATGTTATAGCTGTGCTAAAAAGAAACTTAATTTATGGATCTCAATGGGAATCAGAAACCTCAGAGTACTACAAGTGCGAGTACAAGTGCAAGTACATGTCGTAGTTTGAGAACCACCGAGACAAAAAAGTGCTATTAATTATTTCATGTTGACAGTAAGACAGTAAGGCTTATTTTATATATACTTTTAATAGTGAAGAAAAATATAGCCTAAATATGTTTTCACCCGTGATTTAATTAATAGCTATATTTACCTGTGTTGTGACCTAAAATCAGAGCCTTAACGCCAAGACGGGTTAATAGCCCTCCTTAAAGATGATCCCACGAGTCATAATTGGAGCAGGACCTATTAATTATCTGTCTGATAATAGCTGTTAGAACCTAATTTGGACTAGGAGGAAAGATTCCTAGAAAGATTCCTCTACTGTCATACATAAAGACTGTCTCACACTCATGAGGCTTTTCCAGCCAACTACACAATTCAACTTTTAACAAGGTTACAACTAACAGGACACATCAGCAAAAAGACTGGGTGAGTCCCAGTGGTGGAAACAATGGACAAGGCTCAGGCGTTAATTGCTGATCAATACCAGTTCTGTCTGCATGGGCCGACTGAACATTTATCAATTTCATTAACAACGCTCTTGTAAAATGTTTAGACAGAGGTTATTATTCTTCATTTAAAAACGAGTCGTTATCACCTTCCTAAACAAAGCAATAAAAAGATTCTTTGCCATAGTCATGTGGCTTAAATGCAAAAATAGACTTGATTTTATTAATTGCTAACTGCTAAATTTAATAACTAGTTAGATCTTATTTACAACATGCAACCAAGCTGCAGTTGCTTCGACCTCGACCTTGTTTTAAAAAACTTATAGTCTCTTACACTGCGTTATATGCTGCAAAATCTTAGGTGTAAGAAGCTACAAGGTTAAATGTAGACAGTAGTAAATATAGTAAGTAAATATAACATAAAAAGCCAGACCAATGAAAAACAGTTTGCTTTACAGGTAAAGTCTGTCCAGAAGTAGCTAAAACACAAATATAACCGAATGGTAGCTTGTTAATGGCTTATACACAAAAACAACAAACGTAGCTAAATGTTTCCTTTAAAACAGCCTAATAAGGAAGAATTACCCAAGAAATAATAGCCATTACAGCAGCTTCTTTGTTTTTCCATCCATAAACAACAGCAAAAATATAACAGGAATATATCCAAAAATGTAAGATAAAACTTGAAGGCTGAAAAATTGTAACAAGATGACCAAGAAGTTGCCATGAAATTGCAAAGAAAGAAATAGCTAGAAATTCAGTAACAGTTACAGTTACATTGGAGAATGTTTCTTTCTAGAAATCTGAAGTTTGTCTCTTCTATGGACTTAAATCCAGTCAAATTGATGACCTCTTAAGCTTTTATGCTTAACAATTAAACAGGTTTTCATTTAATTTGGTAACAGTTGAGTCACCAGAGAGACTTGTCTGAACATGTATTCGTTTTTTAACTTAGACGCTTTTCAACTGTATAATCTTTGTCCTGAAACTTTTTGGCTAGATATTCAAACACATTGAGCTACATTATAATAAAAAATACAGAAGGAAATGGTAAAGCACAGATACTGTAATGTCGCTCAACCTGCAGCGAGCTTACAAGCAGCCTTAGATCTACAGTGCAACACTGTTCTCTTGTCTTGTCCAGGCAGGTTGCCTCATTCAAATTGATTTTTTTTTTTTTTTGCTGTAGCTCTGAGGTTAAGATAATGTGCGTGTATCCACTCTACTGGCACTGAGTGGAGCCCATCGATGGGCTGCACACACAGAGAGGCTCTCCCTGGATCAGTTCTCCATCATGAATCTATAAAAGTGAGATGGAGAGCCGTACCGTAAAAGCCTCTAATATTACACGACTCAGCACAATTTATTCACAAAGTGTATTTTCTGTAGCTGTTCTTCACCAGGTGTTACAACAAACCAGAGTGCTGAAAATGCCGTTCATCCATTTACTACAACTGTAGTTCTGTTCTGTTTAGGCTCAGCTGGAGTCTGTAAACCAGACACCAACAACATGTTAACAGACATGTTAACAAAGGAATGTCTATGTCATGTTATATTAGTTCATTAACACATACATTGTTTTTCATTTGGACTAAGATTTATTGGGATACAAGATGTAAAATGTCATGCTGGTGGAGGATAATCCACAATTTGGCAACCCTGTGGTCATTTTATTAATAGCATCTTCTGACCTGTTGCGCTATAATAACACTACACACTCTTAAGCCCTTTGGACTGATGCCTTAGTTAGCTTATATTGCATAAATACAGCCTACAAGTGTATAAGTACATGTTGTAGACAGTTGCCTGACAAAGACAGTTCATGGATTTACCTCATTATCCATTTCTCCTAATGTGCTACTTACTCTTCTCTGTTCTGTTGGCAGCCACCTGCTGTTTATACTTAATATTACATGCCATTTTCTTCTTGTCTTTCCCATTCATTTATTAATTTAATTTATTTTTAAACTTTTTTGTGTGGCCCAGCTCCTTTTTAGCTGTTTTCTCTAAGATGTTGGCATTTTCACCATTTTACAAACACACTGGAAACAGTTAAAGTGACCTATAATTATTATTATTTCATATATGAATGATGTGATTAAATAAGTAACCTTTCACAAATAAAATATTTCCAAGAGTCATACCATTCAAAATAACATCAAGAGACACTTTGATTTTGAAGGATATCCTAAGATTTCGGTGTTACCAGAGATTTCTGTCATCCTTGTCATCTACTTCAAGTGGATATGATGAAAGTGAGGTGTGATGGAGCAGCAAAATCAAAAGAGGGGTTGTACAAGACAGCCCTGAGGGCTGCCATGGTGTCTGGTTTGGGGACATTGGCAATGTCTCAAAGACAGGAGGCTGAGCAGCAGGAGGCAGAGTCGGAGATGCTGTGATTGTAATTTGGACTGACCAGGATGGATAGGATTAGAAATGAGCAGCAGAGAGGAACAGCTAAGACTGACAGGTTTGGACATAAACACTGAGAAACAAGGTTAACCTGGTTCTGACAGAGGAGACCATGGGTATTCATCATGAACAAAAATGATATAACTACCTGTACATGGCTGGAACAGAAAGACACATAATAGTTGGTTGATGTAAGTCCTTCACACGTTTGTATTTGTGACTAAATGAAATGGTAGAATTATTTATATGAACATGCAAAAGTATAACTCAATTTAGCATCATACAGTTGTATCAGCTTTTTTTTTTACTGTAAAGAATTACTTAAAAAAAAAATTAGGTGTGGTTAAGCCTCAGCCCAAAAAACCTCCTAGAGACTAGAGAGATTAAACATAAATGTTCTTGGCAACAGATGTTGAAAGTACAGCTCTACCAGACCAGAGGACAGATGAAGAGGAAACCTAGAAGAACAAAGATCTAGAGATTTAGGGAAGAGCATGAGATAGGGACAGATGATCTGTTTGGGTGGTTCTTGTGGGAAGAACCCCAAAAGAAGTCATTTTTGGCAGCTTACATGCTTTGTTTTCATGTGAGTTCTCCCTCAAAATCTGAATTTTCAAAGGCCTTCAGCTGGAGTTTTGATTAAATTCTTCTGTCATGTAATGAGCACAGATGTTGATGAGCTGACATGTACTCTCACTGTTCTTCGTCTGCCCAGTTGGTGTTACGTTTGTAGTATTAGTACATGTATTGGTGATAGTACTGGTTTGGAAGTACTGGTGTGTGTGCACCTGTTCTGTGCAGGCTCTGGGCTGCTGTGTGGAGGACATTTGTTGACAACAACAGGCTGTCGCTGTGTGCGCGGTGATCGTGGAGACAGCAGAACAACAAGCCCGCCCTTTGTCTACGTGCGTGTGTCTACGTGCAGGTGTCTGCACGACAGGCGACATTGTTGTCATTGTGTTGTCTGACAGCCGAGTGATGATGAGGGATCGTCTCTTATCTCTAACCGCTTCTACCTGAGCCTCTGTGTATGAGTGTCACTGTCAGACACAATGGAGCGCAGTTGATCATG